GAGTAAATATACAGGTCAACTATTTGGTGAAATGCAACGATTTTGCCTGGAGTAAGTATGTAATGTCATACATTGCTGCTCCAGAACACAAGTGGCTGAACATGAGTGTGTTGCCAAGGTTGTGTTATTAAGCTCATGACTGCGAAGGCAGATGCAGTATGGCTTTTTTGCTAATTATGCTAGCTATTCTAGCTGATGTTTCATTTTTAGTAGAAATCAAGGTACGTCACACAATATAATCACAATAAAGCATGTTGCTCATGTTGTGCAGACTTGTAGCACCTTTGCTACTTAAAGGCTCCAGCTGCAATGACAAAAATTAGCCATGTCTTCTAAGTGGGCCACTTGGAACCAACTAACTTAGACTAATCCAACCACTGTCTAAGAACAAGCACCAGCCACAGCCTACTGACGATCAGCTGCTTCACATAATCAGTGAAAATTTGCGCTTGTACGTACCGTACATACTTCCTGCATGTGTGTGAAACAAAATTACTCTCCATAGCATGATCTGTAATCAAACAGGTCTGTAACGATCTCGGCACAAACATGACTTGCGGCATGGCAGGAAAAGCTCAGCTGCCTTCAACTTTATTTAAATTATGCTAGCTATTCTAGCTGATGTTAACTGGGCCCAGAAACAATGAAAATGCATTTCTCTGACAAATAACTTCATATGTTCCTCTGAAAAGGCAACCCCTGTTCTTCATCCAACACATAAACCTACTTATGTTCCTTTGCTATAATCTAAATAATAAACCATGTTTTCTAGTGTATTGGTATGCATGCTGCTATATTTCTTTGTGCAACTGTGTGTGTGTGTGTGTGTGTGTGTGTGTGTGTGTGTACATATATATCTCAAGACTACAGAACTCTAGAGTGGTTGGAGTGACACTGTAGATCACTTCCTGTTTCCCTATTTCATGGTTATGCAACCAACACCAAGGAAATTTGATTTACAAATAAAATTGGGAAAATACAACTTGATGAACAGGTTTTCTTTGCTGTTTGCTTCATTCAGGTGAGTTTTCAAGAGACCCTTGATAAATGTTCTGATTCCATGTGATTTTTGGTTTTGACCGTTGCAGCGCAGTGTAGGTACAGACTTCACACGCAGCACAACGAGTGATAACATCAGCCCTGTGCTGTTTAAGTATAAGCCCCCTTGAAGCATGACATTTAATAATTGTGCTCCTGGAGAATGTATGAACGTCCCACCTAACTTGAAAGTACTTTCTGGTCCTAAACCATCTTAAAGAAATAAAGTTTATGCACTAGTTATTACTGCAGTATAAAATAGAAATGCATTAAACGTGTTCTCTGCTAGAGCCCGATGGATGTACATCATTCGGCTAACATAAGCCGATATTGACGACTCTTAAAGTTGTTGGTAGGGATTAAATATGTGCCGGTTATTACCAACCTTTGTCATGGTTCATGATATCATAATATTGCAGTAAAAAATGTGTTTAATGTGAGATACATTAAGATACGTAATATTTTAGTTTTTCATTATTTTAAGTAGGGATAAATATGTGCAATATTTGCAATAAACAATCATTAAAAAAAAATTAAGATTGTCTTTGCAGTGGTGCTCACTGTGCATCATTATCATACAGGGCTGTTAACAGTCAGGACTGGAGTTGAGAACCTGACATAGAACATCAGGACTTATACCTAGAGCTGTGAAACTGGGGACATTAGGCAAGCAGTTTATAATCTCTGTTCATGCTAAGTATCAATAGGGGTGATAACAACCAAGAACCAAGAAAGAAGATTGATACCACTTGAAAACACGACATGTTTCATATACTGAATATAGCAATAAAACCAGAAGCATAAAGGAAAGTCCCTGTTCATCTGTAGCATCAGATTTTAAAATGACAAAATCTCACAAACAGTAATGCCAAAGTGCAAAATATAGTTGTGAGTAAATATAAAAAACATCATGAAATTAATTTCCTTTGATGAACTTTGATATTGATGAGGATGGTGGATTTCGCAGGCATTATAAAATTAATTCTAATTTTAGTAAGTTTGCTTTATGCAATTAAAGTTTTGTTTTGTTTTTTTTTGGCTCAGCGTGTCTTACATTTTTGTTTTGGCAAAATGTTTCATCTCAGGGCATCGCTATTTATTGGTGTCAGCAAAAAAATAATCTAATTATAGATTAATCTAAATATAATTAGCAACCGTTTTTGTTGCTTTAAGCAAGCGTTGTCAACTTTAATCCTTTAGGACTGCTGTTTAGCACAGTTTGGTGAATTACCTGCTCAGACACACCTGATTCAGCTCCAGTGTGCATTACGAAGTTTAGTGGGTGTGTTTGAATAGGGAAATCAACAACTGTGCTGGACACCAGCCCTACATAACCGTTGTTCTAGACCCCTGATACTGATGTAAAATAAGAAAGATTACAGCTAATTAACAGAAGCCGAACCAAAGAAATTCGGGATAGTTGCTCCCCAGTGTTTTGCATTATTTATGAGATTTGTGAGTTTCGGCTGTTATAAGAAGGGTGACAATGAAGAACTGACAGTCATATCAGTCAGTGAAGCACCGTTTAACTAAATCTACTGCAACATAAAAGTAAAATCTAAAATACAAATATTAAAGTATAAAAATATCTTTTTTTTTGTTGTTTGTTTTTTTTATTATTTATTTATTTTATTTTTTTTTAACTCTGTGAAATCAGTATTGACATCACCAGATCTACAAATCAGCTGGGCCTTATTCTCTACAGCTAGTGCATGTTCTCTTTGAGGGGAATTATTGATCTGTGGCCCTGTCTTTTCTCACTGCCAGTCACTGTGATAAAGCGCATGAACCTGAAGAGACCTCCATTTTAATTTGTCCCTGTGGGAAGGGGCTAACAACATGGCTGAATGAAAACAAGAAAGCGGTTTGATGACCAAGATCATTATCAAAATTCTTCTCCTTACTAACTGGCTGTGAAACAGAAGAATATTGTTCATGCGTTGTGTGTTTGGCTGCACTTGATCATAGATTCTCTCATTATTGATTAGCCTAACAGCTTATCACCCTTGAATACCATGCTGATGAGTGCGTCACATAAGGTCCGTAGCCTTTGTATGTTTGTCAGTGAGATTAACCTGCTTATACTGAACGTAATTTGACATAGGAATGCATGTATACTATGTTTAGTGCGGTATCTTAATGTTTTTTAAGCATCTGTAATATTTATTTTTTCTGAAATGTTGGCTTAATAATTACACTTATTTCTCGGGTCTGGGAAGTTTGAAACAAGCATTAGTGTAATAGATGATTTTTAAAAGCTTAATTAAAAATACATTTATGTAATGTTTCTGGTTAAAGGTTCACCTTTTCTCTGTCTGACTCATAGTAAAAGCGTGACGATTTTAATATGTATCAAAAAAATTTAATTTAAAACAATTTTAAAACACTTGCAGAAATTAAAGATATGCCTCTTGTTCTGTTTAGAGAATTTTTTATTTATCTATTATTAATTTATATATTTAATGAAACTGCTGTCAGCGACCAAAACTAGGCATATGGGTGCATGCTTTCACAGTAAAGTGAGTAGGGAAGCAAAAGCCTTATGTTGTGGAAGCACCCACTCTAAACTGACTGGACTTTTAATAAAGCAATTAAAGGATCTATTAATTAGCATTAATATATGAACAAGACACATTCATTAACTAATTTTTGATGTATCAAACAATGCATAATGTCGAGGCATTGCCATGTCGTAGTGAATTTTGTGCATCATTACACCACAAATCTGTAGCATATTGTCAAACGAGACAATATTTTTGGCATATTTCTGATGTTATATGTTGGCAGATAAAGATTAAGGTGAAAAATGCTGTAATCGGTGATCTTTTAAGGTTAGTTTTATGACTTCAAATTATTCTTCTCAAGTTCAAATGGTAGTAGACCGGTCACTATGAAATACTAATAATTTGCCATAAAAGTGTTTCAGATGAAAAATGTATTGGCTTTCTTTTTTATTTGTTGTATGCAGCTATTAAAGTGCAAATCTAAAGTGGTCAAATTGTCTGCTTTTCTTTTCTAGCTGTTGATACTTAATAAGTCCCAGCAGACCCAGCTGGAGCTCAACTGGACACACATTACAAACTGCTGCCCTCTAAAGGTGTTCAGGCACCAGTCAGACTTTAGTACTTTTGTTTCCTTTAGTCCTATAACTATCAATAAATATTTTTGTTGCGAAAAAACATATGACTGTGAATGCCAAAAGACTGGAAAATAATCGTGATCAGTTAAAGTATTTGTGCTTAGCTCAAATAATTGTGATCAGCCTGTTATGTAATAATTGTCACAGGCCTACATATTAGGTTGTGGATCTTGGGTCTGAATGAGGTGCAGCACTGCTGTTTAAACAGAGTAATCCACTTCTGTGTAAGATGAAGACTGTTGTGAGCAGGTTTGGGATGAGCAATCAGTGGGCTGCATCGTAATGTTCAAGTAGGCAAATGGATAAGATTGAGAGTGGAAATGGAAAGTATCAAGTCATCACAGTACTTCAGTGGTTGGAGCTCAGGAATGATGTTTAAACAAAAATTCGTATCAAGAATCTGGCAAAATGGGCAAATGCAAGGCTGTTAACCTAATCTGCGATTAATTAATGGTGAAAGCAGGCAGTTGGTTTGTTTAAAGAAGCTGGCTGATAATGTTCAACAGAGAAGTAACTTCCAAAAATGTTGTGGTAGTTGTATGATGACTGTAGTTACTGTTAGTTGGAATTACATTTAGCGAAATCATAAATTATTTATTTACCTGACATGTGAAATCTAAAAATTATCTCAGAAAACTGGTTTACACCTTAAAGTAGTCCAGAGTATGTAGAAATGAAGGATGATGTGACATCTGTCTTTACAGCTTTATGAACATTGTCTTCAGAACATGCTCAGGGTGTACTGTGAGTTTTGTAGTCAAAATGCTGTCTTCATGTAACTTCTTTCTCTCCCCTTTACCCCTACCCCTTCCACTTTCCACAGATTATGTGTATTTTGAGAACTCGTCCAGCAACCCCTACCTGATCCGCAGAATAGAAGAACTAAACAAGGTGGGTTTGATGAAACCATAATATATGTATACTAACACTAGCTGGGCTGTGTCACTATTTAGTGGATGGTTGTGAATGTTTTAATCCAGGGGTGTACAACTCCAGTCCTGGAGGGCTGGTGTTTAGCACAGTTTGGCAGTTGCCCTGCTCACACACCCACTAAACAAGGCAGTTAAGAGAATCAGGTTTGTTTGAGCAGGTAAATCATCAAAATGTGCTGCACACCAGGCCTCCAGGACTGGCGCACCAAAGATCGTTTTGTGAGCACCCTCTTCTCACACTCTTAAACGTGTTGGATTTAACCAGCTTCATCTTTCCATGTTCATGTTTAGTGTGTAGCCGTTAGACGGCTTGCTAAGCGGAGTGTGCTATTGGAGTTGCAGATCCTGCCTTGGAGGCTCTTATATAATGTAGAGAATGACATTAGACTGTCTCTCAGAGCAGGGATTAAAATGCATTTATGTAACCCTCTCGCACTGCTTTTGAGACCAGCATAAGAAATCAGATGAAGTAAGCATGAGAGTGCACACCAGTGTTCTTTACTTTCTTTTTTTTTCCTCACATAATGTTAAATTCAGCAAGAATTTGTCTTAGTTTTAACTTAGAAGATCAACAAAACATGTCATTGAACAGGGGCACCTACATTTTTGCACATGACTGTATGTTATTAGAATGGCCTTCCTGAATTTTAACATGCTGGTTTAGGCTCTTTATAATGGGAGAAAAATTGAACCAGAATAGACTACAACTAAACATTGTTTAAGCTTTTATAATTATGCCTAATTGTTGTATGTTTTGCGAATTCTAATTGCAGAATAAAGCTGAAATAGAGAGTGGTGTAATTAAGGCTGATTAAGCTTGGAGTGTAAAATGTCTGTTTCTTCTGTAGAGCATGTTAAGGTCTTTGTTGTAATTATTTATTTGGCTCACCTGTCTGTTGTCTTTTGCAGACGGCCAATGGAAATGTAGAAGCCAAAGTGGTGTGTCTCTTCAGGAGGAGAGATATATCTGGCAATCTAAACACACTTGCAGACAGCAATGCCAGTGAGTACTGCATCGTTTCCCTCATAATTCCATATATTTATTTTCCACAGTAGAAATTAGGCTTTGGTTATTTGCATCTTTCTTTCAAGGAAAACAAATTGTGTCTTTCGGCATCTGGCAGTGACTTAACCTAACCTCAGTAGAAGGGCCATGATTATGGCAAAAATTGCAATAGAATATACACATAGTTTTTCTTAACTTTGTCACAGCAGACCACACACTTCAGCAGGTGTGATTAAACAGGCTGTGTTAACGTCTGTCAAGATGCTTGAATTCCAGTGATTAACTGGACTCATATGTAAAAACTGTTGATACTTGTTGGTGATACAGGGTATTATATGCGCTGCATCAGTTACGGTTTTTGTGATTAGATAATTACACTGTGAAGGATCATGTTGTGGCTTGGTGTGCTCTTAGTTGTTTGGACGTTTGAGGACTGTTGGGTCTAAGCTGTTTTTCTGTAGTGGGGTTACAAATGCATAGCGGCCCTGTGACGCTCTATGGAGTTCCAAAGCCTGTGCGTTTTGTTCTAAGTACATTTTTCAACAGCTATCACAGTGTAATTTTAAGTACAAGGTTTACTCAAAATATGGATATTGCTGCACACATGCTGGACAGACGCCTACTATTCCTATTCCTGGGCACTGGATTGACGTTAAAAGACTGGCAACCTTGCAATAAGTACCCTGCACAAACCAGCAAGCTTTGTCAAGTGTCTAATTTGGGCACAGTAGGCTTCAGTTTGAGTAGCTGATGTTGCTATGTAATGGTGTTAAAGCAGTATATTACTATAGTAGTAGCCTTACTTTCACACAGTGTCAGATGTGCAGGTGTATTAGCTTTTTTGCAACACATGGTGATGTTAGCATTTTAGCTATTTAATAACTTTGTACTAGAGATGCAATGTAGGTATGAATCTGATCTAGTCCTGCAACAAATAGCACACACTCACCTTATGTAGTGTGATGTTGATAGCGGTGTGTTTCTTCTTGTGGGGTAATAGAGTGTTTGACTAATTTGAGCATGATAACCTGCTTTTAGATGCTCATTTTAAAACTGTTGATACCATCTAGAGCATCGGCTGATACTGATACAGATAAAAACGTGATATTTCTCTAGATTTCAGCATTGGTAACGGAAAAGAAAGAGTAGTATTGCACCCTCTCTTCTTAGTAATTTAGAGGACCCAGACATGTTCAGGAGAAAAATGTCTAAAACATGTCGACAGTTACAAAATAACACACAACCTCAAAGGTCTGTACATGGCCAGAAGAGTATCAGTACCACACAGTGCAGTTCTGCTTTTCAGAGCTACAGCTCATGAACTGGCATTAGCCTAGTATGTAATAAGCATGACTGCTGTTTGACGCTTGGTGTCTATAACTGAACTGGAAATAACTTTACTGGAATCTGTGTACTTGATTGTGTTCCAGTTTATTGTTCAGTGACTTGATAAAATGTGTACACAATGCAGACACTGATGAACGGGAAAAACAAAAATGCTGTTGTGCGTGAAAATTACTGAACCAAAGCGGTTTGCTCATGGCTTTGGGGGATGCACCAAAAGAGAAGTCTTCCCACTCTGAAGCCATGTTAGCACTACTGGTAACGCCCTCCTGGCAGCTATTTTGAGCAGAACCACACTACAGTTCTGACTATTTGAATGGGAATTTCCATATCAGAAAATGAGCTTAACATTTAGTCACTTGCTTTTCATATTTATAATTGCAAAACAGTCATTAAGAACATGGAAAGGCTGTGTGTGTGTCTTAAGTGTCAGATATGACAGTCTGGTTGTTAAGATTAGATCCTAGACAACATGGTGTTTCTTTGTTGGCATCGGTGGTTCCTGTGCTTGTAACACAGGTGAATAAAACCTGTTTTATGTGTTTATTGCTTATGCACTTGTAAGCCTTTCATGAGTGGCAGTAGGGGTGGGTGATATCACCATATATTTTTGGTGGTTTATCGTGATAAATTGTCACCCTACATTTTTCATGTGTCACAGGTATCAAAACAGATTTAACTGGAACTGATGTAGGTGTCCAAGTTTCTTACTATTGTTAAGAAATTGAGATATGGAGAGTTATAAGTAGAGAATAGTATGTGTGTGTGGTCTTGTTTCATGTAAAACTTGAATTAAGAAATTATATTGTGCTCAGTTTTGATAGCATTTTTAAATGCGGCGCTAATGTTTTGCTGGTGCTTTTTGTCTGTTTCCAATTTTCAAATCCCAGGAAAAGCAAAATACCAGGACACACGAAAATTTCTTCAAGTATCATGATCTTACAGTTTTGTCATATCAGGTGGACATGAGTGGCTGAAAGATGTTAAATGTCATTTTATTAAGTATGTATGGTTGGTGCGTTGAAACGGACAAAAATGCAAGCAAATGAATGATTTGATTTTTATGTATTTTATTAGTTTGTTTTAAAGTTAGTGCTTGCGAGATTAAGCTGTTTAAAGAAGAAGCAGGTAAATTGAATAAATAACGTAATGGCAAAATGGGCTAACCTTTAAATCAGCTTTTAGCGCATTTCAGTTATTATACACTGGTTTGTTTTTGTTCGTGACTCTCTATAATCGGTGTAATAGTAAAGTAAGGACACAATACATGAGAGCGAATAGTTTCTGTGAGTTAAGATCCTCTGAACTAACTTAATTAGTTAGCTAGTCTGTTAGAGGTTTGTTTTTGAGTTGATTTAATAGCTTTTTATACAGTCATTTCCAATTGTGCCCAGGTTCATAGCTTATATAGGAGATTAGGTAGGTAGATTTCACATTAGAATGAATATTAAAGGATAAATTTAAAGAAATAATCATGTAAATACTGTAAAACAATAAAAAAAGCAAGTTTTGTCTATAAGCTGGTTCACCAACAGTGCTTTGAGTTGCCTCAGTGGTAGGTTTACCATCGATTTGCTGTCATTGTTAGTGAAATATTTATTAAATCCAAATATTTATTTACTAGCCGTTAAATGAATTAGGCAGAGCACCGTCCCAAAGCGGGGCAAAGTGTATTTGAGTGTTTAAGGGATTTAGAGCATTGCTGTGTGATTCCACCAGTTTTGCACTACTGAACCTTTATGTTTACTGCTGTACTGCTCTTTATGGCACTGGGCTCATTCCTGCATGGTTGTTTTAACATGGTGCTGTTACAGACAACCTAGGATTCTGTCCCACCCACTGAGGCTACCTCCTTCCTCCTGCTCCCTTCTTCTTTCCCCTCATCCTCCAGACTCCCCAACACCCCCTCCCCTGCCCTCACCCTCCTACTCTGTCTGGGCTCCCGTGAGCTTGTCCTCTGCTGGCCCTGAGCCCACAGTCTCAGCTCCACACTCTCTGAACAAAAGGGCCTTCATGGGACCTGCCGGGGCCTGGTGAAGAAAGGGTTAATGCTAACTCGCTGGTGTCTTTGTCAAGGAGTATGTGTGTGTGTGTCTGTGAGGCTGACTTTGTCGCGTGTGTGTGTGTGTGTGTGTGTGTGTGTGTGTTGGGGGCGGGGTTGTTACTCAGTGGGGGATGGGCGCCTCAGGTTTGTGCACAGGGTTTCCTAGTAAATCTGGCAGGGACTGGCTGGCCGAGGGGGGGACACTGGAGTGGCAGGAGGGGTTAATGGAGAGGGGTGTGGTCAGAGGCCCCGCCTACTCACTGACGGGGTTTCCTCTGGCTTGTTGCAGGGGCGGAGTTCACTCAGATCCTCTGATAGAGTCTCGTCAGGTCCCACCTCACACAACCACCCACTTATGACACAAGAAATTATACATTTTTGATGCTTTTTGTGAAATGAGAAGCAAGTGTTTATCTTGTAGTTCAGTAAATAAAGCCATGCAGCATCTGTTTTTCAAGATATTGTGTAGAATTTGAGAATTTGACAGTTTCCATTAATATGAATGGACGTCTACACAAACTTAGTCTAAAAAACACCTCATCCAACATTTCTTCTGAAATCAAGGGTATTAGTAGGGAGTTTGTCCCCTCTTTTGTTACAGTTATACCCTCTACTCTTCTGAGAAGGATCCCAGAGTTGTGCGTACATGGTGTCATCAAACACGTGCAATTGATTATACATTCTCTATCACTTTTTTTTTTTTCCTCAAGATGTGTAGTTGTGATTGATTTTGAGTTCATTTATGGTCAGGTAATATTTCAGATATTATGTCAGAAGAATTTGTGTGACTGAATGCTTAACATTCAGATGTATTTCTATAGAAATAGTATTACTAGTTTTCAAACCAACACTAATTACTGTTTGTTCTGTTAAGTCTATCAGAAATGGATCTGCTTGTGATTATTAGGAATTGGAGGAGGTTAATTTTTTTTTTTTGTCCTCAAATATCCAATTTACTCATTGATAAGCATGGTATTTCACATTTATCATTTTAAGTTTTTCTAAGATTGAGAAATTTCGTGATTTACAGCCTACTCTGAAAACCTGCTGATGATAAAAGACAAGCTAGATTCTGGCACAAACCAGCTTGTCTCTCATCACACAGTGGGATTTCACACTGCAATATTAATGGTTGGATCTGCGCCAGACTTAGAATCTGAGTTTAGGGCATCTTTTTATTTAAAAATAGAATGAGAATTTTACTTTGGTCTAAAATGAGTGCATAGCACAAACACTGAATGTTACAAAAGTAAATGTTACCCTGCTGGTTAACTTCTAATGTCTTTATCCCATCCAAGCTGAGCGACATGTTTTGTCTATTTTGTGTTAGGGAAAAGGCTGAAAGACTTATTGTGGTCCGATACTGATGTTGATTGATTAGTTCTGGATCACAAATGCCACTCCAACTCATCCCAAAGATATTGGACGGTGCTCCATTATTCCAGAGAATGCCTTATTAAAAAAAAGTGCCTACACTTTATACACCTCTCGCTGATGACTGGCATTGGGCATGTGATTTTAATAGAATTTTTAAACAAAGAAAATGTATTAATTGATTTGCTTTGAAGAACATTGGCAACATGAACTGATGCATGTGTGGGTTTTTGCAGGAGACTTTGAGGAGGAGTCCAAGCAGCCACCAATCACTGAACAACAGAAACACCAGCTTAAACACAGAGAACTGTTCCTGTCCCGACAGTTTGAGTCTCTTCCTGCCACACACATTCGGTAAATTTTACTCTCACAAAAACATGCACACGTTGCAGATTGACATTGCAAAGTGACGTTTGGTCATACCGTCAAAAACATGTCAGAAGGTGAGAAATATATGTTTGTGGCTAAATTATTAGATTACAGCCATTACATGGGCTTGCTTTTCCAAGGCCTCTTTGTGTGAGTAAGGGCAATATCGGGCAGCTTAAGTGAAGCTGCAGGCTCAGGTATAGCAGCAGTAGTCAACAGAAGTGAGGATTTGCTATAGCCTGTAGTTGCTGTTGTTGTTGCTGTTGTTGTCGTTGCTGTTGTTGTTGTTCCATATCTAATACACTTTATAACAGGCTTTTATAAACAATATATTTACAACTTAATCATTACATCTTATCAATACATTATAATGTCACAACTTTCTAATAGTGTTTTAAAATTGAATAATTTATTGATTAACTAAGCATTAAGGAAAAGTTTATGCATCATAGCAAATAACTACTTAATCATTTAAAATGGGTCAGACAATTACTAGTTATTCATGTTAATCAAGTTGTTATTCCAAGTGATAATTCTATTAATTTATTGGAAACAAATAACAATCTTTATTAATGAATTATAAATGTATGATTAGACGTTAATTGATTATTCATATGTCACTTAAATGGTTAATAATTCAAATGGTACTATTTATTGATGCATATGTGTTCATTATTAATTAGTAACAGTCATTAACAAACTTCTGGGTATATACTATGTTGCTGTTTATTAGGGCCTGTTTTGAGTAAATGTCTCCATGTCTATGTTGATGTGGTTAATTCTAGGTAATGTGTTTTTAAAGATAACTTGTGTTATGTTAATGTTTGTCCACAGGGGGAAGTGTAACGTCACACTTCTGAATGAGACTGATGTTTTAACAAGCTACCTAGAGCGAGAGGTAAGACAGAATTCGCTTTGATTTACAGCAAAACCCAAAGCTGAGAGGACTGAGTGAATCCTAGAGGCATTATGACAAACACTGATCATAAGTTTAATGCTATAAAGGTAATATTGCAGTGGTTGTTCTTTGCAGTCAATGTAATGGAGTTATGTGTGCTTTGCAGGACTGTTTTTTCTACTCATTGGTATTTGACCCAGTCCAGAAGACCCTGCTGGCTGACCAGGGCGAGATCAGGGTGGGCTCCAAATACCAGGCTGAAATCCCTGACAAATTGGCTGAAGGTGGGGTGCAAAAAACAATTCTGAATAGTTATAATAAAGGATGGCTTCGGAATGTAGTTATATATGATTCAGAGTCAGTTCTCCTGTTGAGCTTATTTTGATTAAATTTAGTTTGTAACAGTTTTTAAGCCAAAACATTGTATGAAGTATGGGGTAAAAATAAAACTCATTACTGTCTCATTGTAGGTGAATCAGACAATCGAGTACAGGAGAAACTGGAGACGAAGGTGTGGGACCCAGATAACCAACTGAAGGACTCTCAGATAGATCAGTTTCTGGTGGTGGCTCGGTGAGTCATGGCGTTCAGATTCACCATCTGATCACAACTTGCTCTTGTTGCCTTGGAAACCATACTCAGGGCTCATGCTAACTCCACAAATTCTTGGATCTAAACCAAATTGTTATTAACATACTGAACATGACTGATGTTGCACTGAGTAGACATATGTGATACTGCTGTTTTTGTTTTACATTCCAAAGTAATAATGCAGCGTCATTAATGTCATAGAGGACATTATTGATTACTTACTGGAATTGTTAGTGAGCAGATAAGATTTTTCCACTGAAAACCCACAAATAATTGCCCCTATTTAAGACTGCGTTGTATAACTTGTATAAATAGACAATGTAGCTTGCAGTTCAGTGTCTGCATTGGTGGAAAATGTACCCGGGTAACTTGTTTTGGAATAAATTGGTCAGCTGGCTGAGCTACAACAGTTAAAGGGGAATTCCACAGAAATTTATGATTGGCTTAAAAGACGACTCACCTTTTAAAATGTTTTTTATTTAATTTTTTATTGTGTGGGGTGGGGGTGAAAGACAAACTAATGACATTGTTCCCTCTTGCAAGCACTTATCACTGCTAAGTTGTTGTACAGCCTTCAGATCCCTCTTATAATCTTCTGTCTGACCACAAACACAGTTTTGTAGTTGTGTTGTCAGCATTTACTTTTTTTTTCTGTGCAAGCTGATGAGATGTCACAGACATTACCTGATAAACATCACTCGTTCAGAGTCGATTTCTTAATCCTAACAGGAACAATTTTCATGCTGGTGCAAGCCACGTCATGAATTTGGCATGAATATTGTGTATGTTTTTGTTTGTTTTTTGTGTGGTGTTTTTTTGTTTTGTTTTGTTTTGTTTTTTGTATTTTGTTTTTGTTTTTGTTTTTTTTTTTCCCCCAATTGGCCAGGGAGTGCCGACTGCTTATTTTATCTTGGGACACATTCATTTGCATTATCAGACTGATAAAAAAAAATACTTTGTTGGAATTCCCCTTTTAACTGCTGTGTTTGTTGGTTAAACCAAGAATGTTTTCTTAGAACTTTGGTAAAACCCTTTGATACCAAAAATTTTATGCCAAGGTAGGATTGTGTCACTCTGTTCCACATACCGGTTAGGATTATCCAGTTTTTCATTGCATTTAGTATCGCCATCTGTTGGTCATGTAATATACAACATGGTTGGTTAGCCCAGTAGGAAGCCATAATGCATATCATTTAAATCCAGTCGTTTCAAATAATTTACTGTTTTGATAGGTTATGTAAATTATGTCAGTAAGTTATAATGCTGATACCTGTGTTTCAGGGCTGTGGGGACGTTTGCCCGTGCATTAGACTGCAGCAGCTCTATTCGCCAGCCAAGCCTGCACATGAGCGCAGCAGCTGCGTCCAGAGACATTACGCTGGTAGGAGGACATGCATGCATACACTTACATATTCACTGTGTCATTTTTTTAGTGGAGTTTGTCATGACGCATGTCTTATTGTATGAAATTACACATTCATTATTCAGGAACTGTGTCATACAATATCATTGCTAGAGCTTAGTAAGTCTTTCTTTGTATTTGATGCTGCATTGCATTATTCTAAGATAATTTCATGTTCCGTATTGCCATCAGAGGAAGGCAAATCTTAATAGGTTTAGGCCTTCATCTTCCTCGAGTAAAGGCCTTGTTAGCTCTGTCCATATTTTCCAGAAGACAAGTCAAAAAAAGAAAGGAAAGAGAAATTATTAAATACATTTTTAATTAGAAATGGCATGTTGTTTTTGGTCCCTGGTCCACAATAAATTGCATATACAAATGTGCCTTCATAACAGAAAAAAATATTTAATTTTGCATACATGCTTTCTTTCCCCAGTTCCATGCTATGGACACACTGCAGAAGAATGGCTATGACCTGGCCAAGGCCATGTCCACACTGGTGCCACAGGGCGGGCCTGTGCTGTGCCGGGACGAGATGGAGGAGTGGAGTGCCTCGGAGGCCATGCTGTTCGAAGAAGCGCTGGAGAAATACGGAAAAGACTTCAATGACATTCGCCAAGATTTTGTGAGTTCATACACTATTGCTCATTGGCCTCACCAGTCTGTTCATATCCTGCAGATTTGGTGTTTTGGAGATCTGGAAAAGGGCTTCCATTTGTAATGTGACTAACACTTAACTTAATTTCATGGATTGTTTGATGTAATTTTTTTTTTCCTGTGTGTTTTCCCAGTTGCCCTGGAAGTCGTTAGCTAGTGTGGTTCAGTTCTACTACATGTGGAAGACCACGGACCGTTACATCCAGCAGGTACACCTTCAAAAGCCCTTTCATGCTTTTTTTTTTTTTGTTTTTGTTTGTTTTTGTTTTTTTTAAATGGATTGGTCTTTTTCAATCCTCCCTCCTGGAGCCTGGAGTGGTGAGAGGATTGTGTACTGTCCTTCTCAGACAGCAAATCTCTGTCGTTTGTAAACCCACTTTTGAATATACGTGCAGATGCCTAAAAATAACCTGCTTAATGAGAGAGGCAGGAACGATTTTGGAAGTTACTTTAGACCATTAATGTAGCAAAGCTTGCTGTGTTGCATTTACACACATACAGATCCGATTACAATGTGTGCTCGACCAGCTCAGAACAGATAGATCCAAACAAATTGCGATCACCGACACAATTACGTTTGTCTTTTAAATGCGTATACAACGTCTGCATGCAGGACACATGTTAATGCCAAGTGTAAAAGGGCCCTAGTCACTAAAAATAGTGACTTGAAGTTATGCTTTTTTTCTCATTTTCAGAAAAGACTGAAGGCAGCAGAAGCAGACAGTAAACTGAAACAGGTTTACATCCCCACCTAGTGAGTATTTACTGTAATAGCAGCAACTATGTAATGTGTTCTTTAGAAGTTGGGTGTAACATGATAAGTATCGTTATCATTAGTCCGGATTGCTGGAGTTGCATGGCAGAAACAGGACTTTTGACCTCACTCTCTTGGAGGGCACTATGTAGTTTGACATTGTTTAAATTTCTGCTGCAAAGTAAAGTGAATTTTTGTCTTATAACAAAATTGGCTATCAAAAAAATCTAAACAGATTCAGATTGTATTTGCTGCTTTAAATATTAAACAATAAACATTTATTATTTAATTTTTTATGTTTATTTTTAAATCAGCACCAAACCCAATCCCAACCAGATCATGGCTCCTGGTAACAAGCCTGGCATGAACGGAGCCGCAGGTTTTCAGAAAGGCCTGTGCTGCGAGAGCTGCCACAGTGAGTACCATAACATTAGTCATGCTTACTCTGCCTTGACATCCTTCTCTTATATCTCAGCTTTACATGAGTTGCCTACAGATACTGGACCATTATATTGGGCACCGGACACGATAGCATGCACTAATTAATCCAGGAGATATTGTTATGCATGACCTTTTTTCACACCAAAATTTGCTCCCCCAGCTGCCCAATCACCTCAGTGGTATGCATGGGGACCTCCCAACATGCAGTGTCGACTCTGCGCCTCTTGCTGGATTTACTGGAAGAAGTATGGTGGGCTGAAGACCCCAACACAGTTAGAGGGAGCTACAAGATCTGGCTCGGTATAACTCAACACCTCACCCAAAAAAAATGTTCATGTTCCTCATACTAATAAACGTTAATGTACAGTCCAAGATCACTCTGGTTTGCAACTTACCTTCCAACTTCATCCACTTCTGCAATAGGATGCAGCCCCACGTGGTCACATGACTCGTCAGGAAGTGCAGGGCATGTCCCCGTTCACCAGCAGCGCCGGCAGAGCAAAGCTATTGGCTAAGAACCGGCAGACATTTATTCTGCAGACCACCAAGCTGACCCGCATCGCCCGGCGTGTATGCCAGGACATCCTGCAGTCTCGTCGGGCTGCCCGGCGCCCTTACGCATCCATTAATGCCAATGCTGTCAAAGCAGAGTGTGAGTGCACCACTGTTACTGCCATTCTAAACAGGAACAGGAAAAAATACATTCATTTGCAGATAGACACTATAGAGATGCTGTTGTAAATGTCATAAAACAGACTTTGTGAAGGAGGTTCATGAAGGAAACATGTATAAGGTTATGTACATTTCCTGAGCAGCACTGTATCATCCTACTGTGGCATTATATGAAATACGCACTAATGGTTAGATGCTAATTATTTCTTTATTTTCTCTCTCAGGTATGATAAGACTCCCAAAAGCATCAAAGAATGCTATAAAGAACCGCCCTATTCCACGACCATCCCTCGTCAACATAGTAAAAGAACTTGGTAAGAATTTGCCAAAGCTCAAATTTTGCACCAGTCAAAATTCAGGAGTCTTTATGGTTTGTAATGTAACTGTTCGTGTAAATGTGTGATTATTTCTCTCTGTTCCTCAGCTGTCCAGGCTCCTCTTAAACTCAAAGCTCCCCGTGGTGCTCCCACCCCTATCAACCGTAACCAGGCAAGCCAACCCCGCAGCGCCCCTGCCCTGCTTGGGAAGAGGCCCTTTGATAGTGGAAGTTATGTGAGTCTCTCTCTGTCTCGCTAATATTGGATTGCTCAGTTGGTAAAAGTGCATCAAGTACAATTTTAGCAATGCATAGAGAGGGAATAACTGTTTAACTGTTTTTAGTTGAATAGTGATGGTAAATTAGAAAGTAGATTTAAGGGGGAATTCCACCAGTTTTGCAAGATTTCTCCAGATTTAATCGTTGAGGTGTAAACTGTTGATCAGAGTGGTTTGATGTGAAATGGTGAATTGTATAGAAACTTGCTGACTCAGATTTCTTTACAGTGGTGGAGACCATAACCAAGGGTCATGATGTCTACAGCCCAAATAGAGCCGTTTTTAATTTAATATCCAAACTAACCAGTGCACCTGCAGTGAGACCACAGTACAGTTTTATATGTAATGTTGTTGAAGGAAAAATAGTGTTAAATCCAAAGTCTGAAGTTTTCTCTGGGATCCGTTTTACCCTACAACAACTTGCATGCACCTGTTTGTTCTGCATATATGTAAAAATGTGCACCAAAACTCTCAAAACTGTCATATAAATATGTCTGTAGGCAGTGTCTATGTCTATGGCATTAGGCAGTGTATTTTTAACCATTTAAAGTAATGGCTTTCTGTGACGTAGCTCTTACAGGCGTTAGTTGCCTCAGACGCCAGGTTCCTATCACAAGTCTAATTCTAGGCGGTACTTTTCTCTAAAATAGTGCATTTCGCATTAAAACATTCTGAATTTATTTTCAATTCTAAGGACTGAAGTATGCAGAAATTTGGAAAAATCTGTGGAATTCCCCTTTAACAACGATAACGATAATAACGCATTATGATTATAGTAGCAGCAACTCAAATGTCTCTCTGCCTCCCTTTCTTTTTTATTTTTGTTTAACTCGTCATTACACATACTGCACCACTGACCCTTTTACCAATCTTACTGGTTTTCTGTTGGCTGCAGGTGGGAGGGCACCCCTTTTCCACCAATGGGAGGCCATTTATGTCCAGCATGAGAACAACTTCCCAGTCAGTAATAAAGCGTCAGAGAGTCAGCCATGGAGATGCCCCCAATCCTGTAGTGTTTGTGGCTACTAAAGAAACCAGGTGTGTTACGACGCAAGTTTTACCCCAATTTTAGGCCAGATTCTCAGTCTGGCCGAGTCCGTGCTAGTTTGCTCTAGTCTGCAGATTTTGAGGCCGTCTGAGTCGACAGTTGGAAAAGAAAATCGAGTAGCGTGCGGGGGTCACAGATTTTTGCCTCCTGATTGTGTTTCAGACCAGTCAGAGTATTTCAAACTTTTTTTTTTTTCCCCCAGTCCGATTCTGAGCCGGATAGTGTAGATCTGCATTGACTTCACCAACAACCAATAAAAATTAAAAGCACAAAAGAAATAAATACAGCAAGTTAAAAAAGAAAAATGGTAAATAGGCACTCACGTGTAGCGAAGCTTTTTAATGAGCTGAGTGTAAGGCGCGAACACAGTTGAGTGCATTTACTTTCAAAACTCTAAAACTACCACACTGATCACAACTTTACACCCACGACCTCACCTGAGTATTTTTCAACTGCTTCTTTGCTTTGTCATCACAAATGGTGGCTAAAAAAAGCTGCTCCATGTTTATTTGCATCTCCTAGTAGTGGGAGAATGCAGGTGTTCATCCAAGGTTGCTTATGATCACCAATATTTCAGTCGCCCAAAAAAAATCTGCAGAAACCAGTCAGATAGTATGAGATCCTGTCTTTTCATAATCTGTCAGAACTTTAAAAGTTGTGTTGTGTATTCAGTGCTGTACAGTAACTGTGTATTAATGTGCATATGTTTTTCTTCAGAGCACTAAGGAAACACCTGACCCAAGCAGAGATGCGGCGGGCAGCTAGGAAACCAAACATCCCCGTCAGGGTGAAAATTCCTCTGCCTCCACGGCCACTTCCTGTACCCATCCTGCCCTCCAGTACCAGCGAGCCAATTGTACTGGAGGACTAAAGCACCTTTCTGTTAGGCCACATCCCCTGCCATCACACGTCAAATCCCACCATGTTTAGATGTTTTTCTCTCTTTTCTTCTCTTACTACCCACCAAAACCTGATTTCGCAAACCCTCATTCACATCAACTTACTGTTTTACTCTCACTCTCTCTTGCTCTCTGTCTATATATCTATCTCTTTGTCTGTCTGTCTGTCTGTCTGTCTGTCTGTCTGTTTCTGTCTGTTTGCTTGTCCATCTCTCTTATTCTCTGGTGCTGTTTCTCACTCTCGCTCTGTCAGCAAACACGCATACAGACACTCAGACCAGCGTAAGCCCCACACATCTCACTGCAGCAGGCTTTGGGCATGGACTTTGTAGTGTTTTATTCCAGTGTTATGGTTTAATTTTTCCCCCTCCTCTCCCTCCCTTTCCTCTTTTTTTAATGGCAAATATTTTTAACTGTGTAATTTAAATCAGATAATGCTCAACATGAAATAATGGTGATAAAGCACACTTTATTTTTTCCTCCAGGTCGATCTTTATTTGTGTAAATATTAACATTTTTCAGGAGTGTTATCTTTAATGCTGGGTTTAGAAGGGGAGGGAAGGGATCTGAATTAGGGGTTTGTGGCATGTCTCTTTTTTCATCTTTCTTTTTTTCTTTGGTCCAAAAAAAAAAAAGAAAAATCAACATGTCTCGCTTCTTTTCTCAGCACTGTAGTCAATTTCAGGTTTGGAACCCTGTAGTGTGTCTCCCCCCGACCGGTTTGAGTGGTTCTCTTCACTCTAATTCAAGCTGAAGCATCTCACTTAACAAATCCTTAATTCAGCTCAAATGGACAGGAGAGCTCTGGACTGCAGAGGTGTCCCCACCACTCCATATGCCATGGATCAGCGGACTCAAGTTTAGAAATGCTTTTTTTTTTTTATGGTCCCACAGTTTCCCTTTTTACATTGTAATCGTTCAGCAATATGTGATAGAACATTTGTCTGTGATAAATGATGTTTTGGAACTGATTTGCTCTGATGTTCGGGGGCTTTGCTGGGTTCTGTTTGAAATGGTTTTTCTCAGTGCTAATGGTGACAGAATGTTGATGGCTCCAAATTACGTTCCCAGAACAGATCAAGGTGAAAAGGTGTTGGTATGAAGGAAGGGCAAGCATAGGTCAGAGAAACCCTATGGCTTTTATAGATCAAGGGTAAATTTTGCAGTTTTTTTTATTTCTTAAAAAAGTAAATGGTTGTTTTCTCTCACAATTGGTAAAAAGCTGTTTTTCCCCAGTTTGCCCTTTTGTATGTGTAAAATAATGAATAAAGCCATACAAATTTAGGTTTGCCAGTTATACTTTCTCTCGTGTATGCCAAGATGCTCAAACCTTTCATGTATCTGATAACCCAGCACCTGAAATTCTGAATGGAGCTGCGTGCAAGGCAACGTAGTGATTGTAGGTAATGTAACTGTAGTCATGAATTGAGAAAAAGGAAAAATGCTCTTTGACAGGCCTTTTAACTGCTCCAATAGATTGTAGACTGATTTGATACTGAATCATATCCTCATTTATTGGTTTTATTTGTGCTTTGTTTTTGACATGTAAACAATTGGACTTGCTCATTCGCTCATGGCATTGTGAAATGTCAACCAGTGAATGTGTCCCACGTCATACTCCCTTGTACACTGTTTTCCCCCAGTTTTAGGGGTTTTGTAAGGTTTCTTAAATGAGTGTGCACTGCGCACTAAAGACTAAAATAAATGTTAACCTGTCCCCCAAGAAGTGGCACCAGTTTTATATGAAAATAGTAGCCTGAGTTGCTGCTACCTTTAGCTGAGGGCTGAAGTTACATGTCCATATAGTTCTCCATTTGGGGTTGGGTCAGAGGGAAGGGAGGGTATATCAGTTCATTAAGGTAGCTTCAATTTTGTATGTCAGTGATTTTATTTTTTTTTCCTCAACTGTTTTTTATTCTAATGTCTCTGTATCCTTTAATGCATCTTGATAAGAAAAGAAATAAAGTTTTTTTTTTTCTTTGTGGTCATACACTCCCCTTTTTTCGTCTGTGATTTTTATCAGGTTTACTTTTACAGGTAGACTGCTTGTACTGAGTGCCACTGTATTAGTTTCATTTGCGTTGAATATTTGTATTATAGTATGTAGGACTATATTAAAATACAGGTTTTTCGATTCCATATAAGAGTTGATAAATTTGTTAAGCAGTTAGATTCAAAAATCTCCATTTAGGTCTACTCCTGTAGAACCTGATGCATTTTAGGTTATAGCAACTTTACTTTGGTGTAACTTCACTGCCACTGACAACCTTCTTTATACTCCAGTGTGCTGATTATTTTTAAAGTTTTGTCTTTAAGGTAAAAATTTGTATCACCTTTCAGTCTTGTCTATCTAAAGGGTCCCAGTAAGCAGGCTCCACTAACTCTGTGATGTTGATGAGGCTAAAATAGTGGTAAATCTGGAAAGTAAAAAACTTTGTACTTGGTACTATTTTCCATTATAGCGCCCTGAAAGTACTTCTCTGTAAGCATATTAGTAACTATGTCATGTAATCACTTTCTGTGAGGGAGCTTTTAGAGGTACTAAACTGAACAAGAATTGTTCTGACAAGGCAGGTCTCTCAAATGGAGCATCTCGCATCAGACCACTGATTAAATTTAATTAAGCTGAAAATTTGAAAAATGGGTAAATATCCCGTTTAATGGCAGACACGAGTGCATGTCGTGTTTTCTCTCTTTGTTTGAGCGGCGCTGAGTGTCATTACCGATTCACACAATGAAATCAGACGGGCTCGACCCCCGCCTCTCAGACGGTCATTCAATTAGCAAAACCGAGGTGTGACCCGCTAATGACCGCAGGATCGCTGCGCCTGTGTGTGTTTTAAAAGCTCGCCATTTGAAGTCACCATTAGGCTACTAGTAAACGATGTTTATTGGACCTCAAACAAACCACAACCCGAATCCTGTCCGGACGGGATAGAACCAGCGCAGCTCATTTGCATAAATTAAATTGCCGGCCCGCCTCGCCTCCTGATTGGTCCGTTCGAATTTGAGGCGAAGCAGCTGGTGCCCGTTTAAAGGGAAACGCGGGAACTGTGATTTGGAGCAGCTTTAAAACAGCCGAGGGGAGCTTCAGTCGGTGTGTGTGTGGATCGCCCGCCGGGTTTAGGGTTCAGTCCTTGGCTCTCCCTTCATCGCGCACACCGCAGACATCCTGCCCGCTCCTCTGGTGGACGGTTGGACGCTGCTGTTACAGACTTCAGCTTCTGGGCGAACAGAAAGGCTCTGTGTGGAGACGCTGTTGTACTCGTGTGGAAATCGCAGAGATGTTTGAGGTACACTTACCGTTCACCTCTGTAGGTCTGCGTAGTTAGTGTAGCTCCGTGAACTGCAGTATAATAGGACGCGGTTATGTGCCGAAGTTTAATATATAATTAACTGCGTGGACTCAGGATAATAAACAGAAGCTCTCCTTAACCTGCCTATGTGTATTGGTCAGGCGTCTGGTTCCTTAGAGCTACAGGTTACAAAGAGTCTACAGGTTAAAGCTGCTGTGGAAGCTTCATGTCTGAAACTTAAAGCTACTATGGAACAAGTGTTATCTAGGACGTCTCTGACTTAAGAGCTAAACTTATTAGGCTGTTATCACCGTGTGGTTAAAAATCTGTAGTAATAGATACTTCCATAAATACTGTTAATCTCTCAGTAAACTTGTCAAACTACTGCAATTTACTATATTACACTATAGTTTGGTATTACACTCTTAAAGATTCAAGTTCAAGGGATATTTAGTAAAGGCTGTGGTTCTAAATGGAATCATGAGAACTTTTTTGAAATGTTCTATATAGCACTAAAGTGTTCTGCTGTTACAAGACTGACATAATAGAAGAACCCCTTTTGGTACTACATAACCATTTTCAAAAATGTTCTATCTAGAAGCGTTCAACACATTCTCCATCAACCTGAACAGAAAAGCTAGCTGGACTTTTCTCATGGTCTCCTGTAAATGTGCTTTCTTCCTCAGACCAGCCAAGATGACTTGCTGCTGTTTCCCTCAGATGGTGGGGATGAGGTCTGTTTCCCAGGGGAGAGCTTGGCTAATGGGGGTCAGTCATTGGCTGAGGCTCTCCTTCCGTTGGTTGAGTCTCCATCTCCCCCGCTTAACCCCTGGCTCTGCTCCACCCGCTACAAGACTGAGCTGTGCAGTCGCTATGCCGAGACGGGTACATGCAAATATGCGGAACGCTGCCAGTTTGCTCATGGCCTACATGACCTCCATGTGCCCTCCCACCACCCCAAGTACAAGACAGAGCTGTGCCGCACCTTCCACACAGCAGGCTACTGCATGTATGGCACCCGTTGCCTCTTTGTGCACAGCTTGAAGGAGCAGAGGCCTGTTCGCCACAGGCGTAGGAGCGTACCATGCCGTACATACCGTGCCTTTGGGGTCTGCCCCTTCGGAACCCGCTGCCACTTCTTGCATATTGAGGGTGGCTCAGAGTCGAGCGATGGTGCAGAAGAGAAGGCCTGGCAGCCACCTTCACGTTCCAGTGAGTGGAAGCCGCGTGGTGCTCTCTGCCGTACCTTCAGCTCTTTCGGCTTTTGTCTGTATGGCACTCGCTGTCGCTTCCAGCATGGGCTGCCTAACGCTGTGAAGGGCCTTGAAATGAACCAGACCCCTTGGTCACCCCAGATGCCTGGAAGGGCCCTCTCCCCAGCATCAGACATGCGTTCTTCCTCCCCACCCTCATCCTCCACCTCCTCATCTCCTCCGTCTATGCTAGCCTCCCCTGTGTTCCCTGATGACTCTGGTCCTGTCACACCACCATCTGGAGAAGCGATGGCCCACAATGCATTCACCTTCAGCAGCCAGCACCTCAATGACCTGCTGCTGCCACTAGCCATCAGACTCCAGCAGCTTGAACAGGCTTCTAATCTGAGCCCACAGGATATGTTTGAACAAGCACTGTTGTCTTAATGCTTCTAGTAGTCTTTTCCCCTTTTTTATTTAAATTACCTTAATTTAAGATGGCAGGGGGGATTTAAATGGTTATTCTTCTGCTTGTTGGGTCTGTGATTTTTGTAGATAAGTTGACAGACTAAACTGCTGTAAATTGACATTTTAATCTGTTGTACATACTATGGAGCATTTGGCACACTATGAATGTCTATTTATGATTTTAATTTAAATTTACTACCTAAATTATTGTCTGAGGATGGAAGCATTTTTTTTTTGCATCCTTCATCTTAATAAAATCACTAACTCCATGCTTTGGTACTGTCCCTGTTTTGAGTTTGGTAAAATAAAAGTCCTGCCCTTGTTGGGGTTTGGGGGGGGGGTACATATTATTGCTGTACTCAATGTTTATTTGAAGAGGAACACAATTAGTAGCATATTCATTACTATAGTATGAGGTTTTGGACGTGCTTGGGCTGGACCTCGAATGACTGATACAACAGTGCACTACATCAGTCATAAAACTGGCTTTTACATGCAATTAATGAATTATATGCCTAAAAAGCCCATTTGGGATGCAGTCATATGCTGCACAGCTCCTTATTGCACACACTGTCTTTGTGGGGGGGAAAAGCACTCATTTCATGACCTACATAGTGCCCTGTATAGGGAAAATGGAGCCATTTGAGATTCAGCCGTAAATGGGTCCTTTAGTACGCATGCGCAGACTCTCTAAACAATCAAGGCTTTTATTTTGAAGTGACTACACCGAAAGCTAACGTTAGCTTGCAACCCATTTCCAATATTACATTTACACGATTAACGTACGTTAGTTCGCAGATGTGTCTGCATTACAAAACACTACAACGAAGGTAAAGCTACAGTACATTTTAGCCCTTTTTGAGGTTTGATAAAATGAGAAGCCTAGTTAGATAGCGCTAATATTAGTCTGTAAGCCTCAATCTGAAACGCGACAGTTTGTTAGCTAACTAGCCACTGTTTCTGTGTTCGTAGTTTATAGCCAAGTAACCAAAGCTGTAGCAGGTCTACAAATAATTGCTGTGAACTATAGCTGTTTATTTAGCTAACGCTAGCGTGCTTGAGCTGGCTGAGTCGAGCAGGGGAAATCGCAGTGTTGTGCGGACGGCTCTCCTCCTGCGCTGTTAGACACGTTTTGATCGACGTTAAAAAGTTTAACGGCGGCTTTTGCATTTAGATTTCATTGCCAAGATGACCGAGACGAGAGAGGAGCGCCGTTTCGCCGAGGTGCCCCGAGAGTCCATTAAACTCATGGCCGAGAGTGCTGGGGTCGAGCTGGGAGATGATGTAGCCGCGATGCTCGCTGAGGATGTTTGTTACCGCCTCAGAGAGGCCACACAGGTAACCTGACGAGCTGAACAAGCGAGCCGTTCGCCTGACTGACAGCATACAAATGGTTAGCAAACACCGACCGGCCACTTTATTAAAACCACCTCATTGTTTCTACATTCATTGTCCATTTATCACCTCCACTTAACATTTAGGAGAACTTTGTAGTTCTCCTTTTTACCCTGTTCTTCAATGGTCAGGACCCCCACAGAGCAGGTATTGTTTGGGTGGTGGATTATTCTCAGCACTGCAGTGTGTTAGTGTGTGTTGGTACGAGTGGATCAGACACAGCAGTGCTGCTAGAGTTCATAAACACTTAAATATCACTGCTGTGCTGAGAATAGTAACCTACGACCTATGACCAACACACACTGTGCAGCAGCAGGTGAGCTACAGTCTCTGAAATACAAGGAGGACCAACAAGATAGCGGTGTCTAATAGAGTGGACACAGTGTTTAAAAACTCTCGTTTTGTGTGTGAGGTGGTTTTAATGAAGTGGTCGGTCAATGTAAACTGTTAGCTGTTAAAAAGCCTTTTGCAGACAAAGTCTCTGAAAGGATTCCACACATTTAACTTAGCTGGCGTGATATTCACTTCATTTCACATGTACTCATCACAGAACAGCTCCCAGTTTATGAGACACGCTAAGAGAAGAAAACTGACCGTAGAGGACTTCAACAGAGCTCTTCGCTGGAGCAATACTGAGGTAATCTAGCTAACGTTGTGTGGCCTTGCAGTATTAAATATTATTAACTTAAATGGTATTACAACATGTTAAAATTTCATGCATACAGGTAAAATCGTTTCTTCCACTGAAATTAGTTGAGATTAGTAAAAGCTGAAATTTTACATGTTAAAATATATTTCCTACTAGTGAAAGTTTAAAGGGCCCATTTTGTACATTTTTCTAAAACAGTCATAATTCTTTTTTACGTGACCATTGTCCACTCGCTTTTTTATTCCTTAGAATGAAACAGGCTGTTTTTGTGCCTTTATGACTGATATATTTCAATGAGGTCTGTTAATAATTTTTTGTGTTTGGATTGTTTTTTTTTACTGGTATTAGCTTTATTGTCATTCCTTCTCACCATAGATGGTCGAATGAGAAGCAAACTATGGTTACTCCAGAACACAGTGCTACAACGCAGAACAGCAGCACATAACAATACAGACCAACATTAAATACTGACAATACATCATTCAAAACACAAAAAAACTATACTACACAATATACAATGTAGTATGCAACCATTAAACACAGCACAGTAGAGACCAGACAGTGGACAATGTCGGAGCTAAAGCTGCGTTCCAGAAAGCATGCGATGCTTGCTGTGTTACTCAGAATATGGAATCTTGCAAAAAACTTAGATGGGAACAAAGCCTATGTTTTGCTGTCTGTTTCATGTTCCTCTTTCTGTCTCTCTCAGACCATCTGTGGCTATGGTGCTCAGGATGCTCTACCATTTCGTCCACTGAAAGAGGGAGAGCTTTTCTTTGTTGAGGATCGGGAGGTGAATTTGGTAGAACTGGCTCTTGCCACTAACATTCCCAAAGGCTGTGCTGAGACTATGGTGCGAGGTAGGACACTATGATTGTTTTCTTTCTAGAGGATGGTGTAGTATGTGTAGATTAGTACTGATCGTTTTGTCTTCTCGGCAGTGCATGTGTCATATCTCGATGGAAAAGGAAATCTGGAGCCACAAGGCACAGGTGAAATACATTTTTCTATTTTTTTTATAGTAATGAATTGCTATTTTAATTATTAAAGAACCAAGGGTAAGAGACATAGTCTCGTAATGGGCAAGAAGCCTTTCTGTTTTGCGCTTAATAATGGTAAACACTGCATGTTCTACCATGGGTGATAAGCCTTTCTTCTGCAGTTCCCAGCGCTGTGCAGTCTCTGTCCGATGACCTACTCAAGTATTACCAGCAGATCACTAGAGCCATATTAGGAGAGGACCCACACTTAATGAAGGTATGAGCTGCTCAGTGGTTGACAAGATTGTGATCCTTTAAAGATCCTCTGAAAAAAAATCAGCTGCTTTTTCTTTCTTTCAATAAAACCAGGTCGCTTTGCTGGATCTACAGTCCAACTCCAAGATTGCTGCCCTCCTACCTTACTTTGTTTATGTCATCAGTGGGGTAAGTGACTTACACATAAATACGCATAAATGTGGGTGTTTAAATCTACAAGATTAGTGACACCTTTGCTTGTTTCATGGAAAACACTATAAGAAGGCGTTGAGATCAGATAGAGATAGAACTTTGCAAGCTTCTTGTACTCAAGGGTGGAAAACTGGATGATCTGACATGATATAAATATATGAAGTATATTATTGGATTGGTTTCCAAGCATAGCTTAGTCTTTGCTTAAATTATTTTGGGGATTCTCCACTCAAAACTACTTTCTATGTAATTTGTTCTGAAAGTGGAAACGTGTTGTATCCCCCTCAGGTAAAGTCAGTAAGTCATGACTTGGATCAGCTGAACAGGCTGCTGCACATGGTGAAGAGTCTGGTTCAGAACCCGTATCTGTATCTGGGCTCATATGTGCGAAGTCTCGTCTCCAGCGTTATGTACTGCATCTTGGAGCCACTTGCTGCCTCCATTAATCCACTCAATGACCACTGGACCCTGAGGGACTATGCTGCCCTGCTTCTCAGCCATATCTTCTGGTACATTACTGTTATTTGCACATTCACATATACATTAGGCCACACAGACACAGATGGTGCAGGTAGACACAATAGACAGAAGTGCAATTCATGCAAAAGTCTAAATTAAGGCCATTTGCCCACACATATGATAAAATTCATGGCAAAAATTAAAATACAGAATTTTTAACCTTTTGCTTATAGCCACAATATAATAAAGGTTATTTAATTTCTAGCAGAGTGCTATGAAAAATAAATTTGAAGTCTATATCTATATCTAAACCCCATTTGATATCACTGTCTGTTCTATTCTACTTGTTGACCAATTCATGGTAAATTATGAAAAAGTCAGGAGCACAGATAAGGATATGTTGTCGATTAAGCTGCATCAACCACAACTTCAACAGTGTGTGACTGAATATGTTTCTGTGAGTCCACTGTATTGGGAGGCTCACATTTTAAGCAGCATGGTGTTTATCTCTCAGATGTGTTTGTAAAGGCTTTGTGTGTTCTGTGGGGTAGGACCCATGGTGACCTGGTGAGTGGACTGTACCATCAGATCCTTCTGTCGCTGCAGAAGGTTCTGTCAGACCCAGTCCGGCCTCTCTGCTCTCACTATGGAGCTGTGGTCGGCTTGCATGCGCTTGGTTGGAAGGTAACCTACACATACACACACTGAGACAGTATGTTGTTGTAAAAAAGCTTCTTTTATGTGTCCCTCTGATGTGTGTTTGTGTTTGCACCAGGCTGTTGAGCGTGTGTTGTATCCCCACCTGCCAGCCTACTGGGCGAACCTGCAGGCCGTGCTGGACGATTATTCTGTGTCCAACGCACAGGTGAAAGCAGACGGACACAAAGTCTATGGAGCCATTCTTGTAAGTTCGTCTCGCATTGTGATTGAGAGGCTTAAAATCTGTTGGTCTAATAATTTGTCTAGGGTGCTCAAACTTTTACATACGACTGTACCACCTTACACTTTCTGTAGCTATTTAGCTCTCTCTCTCTCTCTCTCTCTCTCTCTCTCTCTCTCTCTCTCTCTCTCTCTCTCTCTCTCTCCACCAGGTGGCAGTGGAACGCTTGCTAAAGATGAAGGCTGTGAGTCTGTCTGCATCTGCAGAAGGTGGCACTGCTGCTCTTCAGAGTTCTGCTGGGGGGATGATGGGCTTCAGAGAGAGTTCACCAGGCCTGAGCCCTCCTCCTGAACCTCTCTCTGAACCTCCGTTGGGCATCGCCAGCCACCTGCAGGCAGGCGGCGCAGGATGCCAGTGGGAGGAGTGGACCCCTGTCTCACTCCCTGACATGTACTGTGAGCTGTACTCCTTCTTTGGAGACAGTCTGGCTGTGCGCTTTAGCACTGGCCCTGCACTAGGTGGTGCCCCATCTGCCACCCCTATTCAGTCTTCAGACGCCAGGAAAGAGCCAGGCAGTGGTGCAGCTAACTTGGAGAGTACACGCAAAATGCCTCAGCTCACTGCCAACATGAACATCAGCCCCAGGCAGGACGGAAGCCCACGCACTGAGCCAGCACCACCAAGTTTGGCCGCTACAGCACCAGGGAGGTGAGTATAGCGAAAGACTCAGTGGAGGATATGTTCTCATAAGCAAGTGGTGCCATGGGTGCTCTCTTTCAGGCTCTTAATTTATGCAAGGTGTCCATATAGGTGGACCTTTCAGACCATTACTTTTTTAATAAAGGTACAGCATTACAATACAGCATTTAGAAAAAAAATAAATTCAGATTTTTTATGTAACACAGAATTATGCAGTATTAATCTCAGCCTGATAAAAGCTTTGGGGAACACTAACTTTAGAGCACTTGTAAGACATTAAGTAGGGCTGCAACAATCAACCAAGTTGACAACGTCATTTAGGAAAAAAATGTTGATTTGTTTACTTAAACAAAAAGGGGCTTTGTAGTGCTCTATAATGTTTATATGATATATATGAATATTCATATAGATTGCAATAGACTACAGCAATATAGACTATAGTTTTTCTTTATACCATAAAAGAAGAAACTGCGTATCACACGGATTGAACTTGGCAACAAACTGGAAGAAACTGAAGAAGGAACAGTTGATTTCGCCAGCTAGTCAATTAATAGTTAACAGCTTAATTAATTAGTACCAGTCAGAAGCAGCCCTACCTTTTAGGTTCTCTCACTGAAATCTATTTGTCTAAGACCATGGTTCACCCCTCAAGGTGGGTCCACACTAACCAAACATCACAGGGAGTGCGCAAGGCTTTGTCTGCTCTGAGGTTATGAGGTTATCAAAATTAGATTTGCACACATAAAATCATAACAACACTTACTGGATAATAAATATCTGTATATAAAACTATTCAAAAAATATATTTCTTGGTCCTCACTCAAAAATAGTAGGCTACTACTTATGAATGGAATAAATCACTTTATTCTTTTGGGGTGTGTGTGTGTGTGTGTATGTGTGTGCGGGCTGGGCAGGGCTCCAAGAAAAAAGGTGGGGAACCACCAGTGTAAAACTGCTTATTTCTAAAAACTTAGAGCCAGCACAGTATAGACTTTAGTTTCTTGATTTTATTAAGTGCTGGCATCATCCCTTTCCTTCTAGCTTTCCAGACCTGGATGCTAACTCATGCTCTTGACTTTTCACTTTTGTCCATACAGGTCTCTGGCCCGCTCTTCTTCCTCTTCCTCATCCTCAGTCCCTCGCTCCAGGTCATCCTCCTCCCGTCCCGGGCGCTCAACCAGCCAATCCCGAGACATTTTCCCAAAAGCTCGCTTCCCCCCTCCCCAGGCCGGCCCGCCAGCCTTCTCATTTTTAATTGGAGGACGGCAGATGGGCCGACGATGCCAGGGACGGCGCTTCCAGACAAGCTTCACCCCGACTCCATCACTTACCTCCCTTCCACCTCGGGCCTATGCCCACAAACTTCCAGTTATTGGAAGAGTGAGCAAACCAGTGAGACGCTGGACGTGCTCCCATTACTCACTGTACCTGCCTCTTTAAGAGACCCACGGACAGACAGGGTTGGCTGGATATGCGGTGGAATGAGCTGCCTGAGTTTCACCATAGACTGACTGACTGAGTTCCTAACAGAGCCAGATTGAAAAGTAACAGCTGTAGAACAATTTTTGCGGTTTGGGCTGACCACTGGGATGTATGGCCGCAATGTTGATCAACGCAGACTTTTTGGAGTGATAGCAGCATTTACTGGACAAGCACTTGAAAACACAGTGATGCACAAAGAAAAAGTTCAGTTTTTGCCAGTTAGGCTGTAAAAGATTTTTTTGTTGTTTAGTTAGTGTCAGACATTATTTTTGTAACAATGTAAGGTTGAAATCTTGTAAATTAAAGATAAAGACAACAGGGAGACTGTTTTATTTAATACTTGGACTAAATATTAGGTTTGCTGTATTTGAATTGTAAAGATGCAGAGAACATTATATACAGTATCTAGTTTTCTGAAAGAACAGCATTAATGTACATTTTGTTTCTTACACAGTAGTAGTAACCATTTGGCTTCCATCATACTTGATGGAAAGCACTATGCTTTCCCTCAAGTGCACTTGTAAATGTTGTTACTCAGGTGTGGTGCCATTTTAGGCTCACTTGTCATATTAATTATTGTTATTCTGTCATAACTTGTAGATTGTAATGTTTTAGACAGTTTAAAAGTAGTTTGGGAACAAAATGAAGTTATCAAAGCAAAGAAACAGCAGTTTCTTGTCACAAAAGTACAATTAATAATTTAACAAATTTAATAGTCACTGCTTTACAAATACGAATGATTCTGAATATGAATTTTATTATATTTTAAGTTCATTTTAAATGTTATATAACTTCCTCAATTATTATGAAATCATCTACAGCACCATGCATCATAGTAAATGACAGAATTTTACAGATTTAAAGAGACTGAAAGGTATAGAATACTAGCATCATATTTGATTTTTTGGGGGGTTTTTTTACAAAATTTTTTCAGTAATTCTTAAGATGTAAACAAAGTCATTTTGAGGGATTTGATGTGAAAAAGCTCCATTCTACTGAAACTTACAAAGTCAGAATTGTTCACAGTGGTGGTGGCAGGAAACAGACACCCACTTTGAAAGCTTTCTCACAGAACGTTATTACACAAAATGATTGTGAATATGCTGCCTGATGTCTGAGATGTTGTTTTATTACAAGAAGATTTTGGTCAAAACATATTTTAGTAGTCCATTCATGGCAGAGAGGTAGGTGCAGGGTGTTGTGAGGCAAAACAGTCCTCAAAACTTTTTTTTTCCAGATTTCCCACTATTTTACCGTTGTCAACATTCTATATGAAATTTAGAAGACACAAACATACTCTAAAGAACAACTCAAAAAATGACTTATTTGCAAACACTGAAGTTTCTGCTGAAGCCTATTTAGACTGATACATCAGTGTGATCAGTTATTAATCTCAGTGTTACTGAGCTCTGCTAAAGTCTGAGTAGACTGATAAATCAGCGATGATCAGTTATTAATCTCAGTGTTACTGAGCTCTGCTAAAGCCTGAGTAGACTGATAAATCAGCGATGATCAGTTATTAATCTCAGTGTTACTGAGCTCTGCTAAAGCCTGAGTAGACTGACAAAAAAATAAGTGATTATCAGTTATTAATCTCAGCGTTACTGAGCTCTTTTGAGGGATGATGGAACTGAACAGCCTCCTTAGTACTGGACATGTTCATGAATAATAAGCTTAGCATCAGTGTACTGGACTTGTGCATGTTTTCTGTAGCAAGTTACATACCTGTAATTGACTGAAAATCACATAGCTTCCAACTTTATAGTCAAATTTGCTGTTGTTTTCGGAATATGGAGAATTGTTTAGTTCATGAGACGGCAGCCTTGAGATAATGAGAGCAGCAGTGGACTGATGCAGGTGATATCAGCCACACTAATGCTGAGGATATTGTAACTTAGTTTAAATAAGTGAACATAGAGAATGTGTTAAAATAAAAAAATAATAATAATACATTTATGAATAAATTTAAACTAAACACAAAAAAACAAACTAAAACACAACAGCAGAGTTTTTACCCATGTGCCTCACCAATATGTATTCTGAATACCTACTTTTTAATGTATTGTAACAGAACACATTACTGAATACCTTTAGGACAGAGTATTCAGTATTCAGCCATCACTACTTTTTCAGAGTATTTGCCCAACACTGTATATCACAAAATGTCCATCTGTGACAAATGTAAGTTGTAGAGAAATCTCTATATGTGCTAATATATGTCGTATGTCATAGTATAATGGTGAAATTTGAAAAAAAAATGGGTGGAATTCTCCTTTAATCTAGTTGAGAGCAGCACGTCAGAGCTGCATTGCTGGCTGAGTTAATCCGCGTCTGCAGGTCACTTCATTAAAGTTTTAGCTCCACGTTCCTGTGTGGATTTGGTTACTGAGCCACAGTGAGAGCGGCAGCCGCTGTTCTCAGGCCGGAGTTATGGCTCAGAGCGCGGACTCAGCGCCGACTCTGTGTCGCAGCTACGCTTTCAGCGTTCTGGTCATCACTTATATCCTCTTCATCCTGCTCGGCGGGGCTGTGTTTATGGTGCTCGAGCAGCCCGAGGAACGCGCTCTTGTTGCTGAGGTCCGTGAACTTCGAGCGAGCTTTCTGGAAAGCCACCCGTGTGTGGAGGAGAGCGGTCTGGACGAGCTGCTGAGGAAAGTCCTCTCAGCCGGAAAACGCGGCGTCTCTGAGGAGGACGGAGAGGAGGACAACTTTGACTTCACCTCGTCGCTGTTTTTCGTCACTACTTTCCTCACCACGACAGGTGAAGCGCTCAGTGTGATGTGGGTCAACCGCTTTCAGCCTTTCTTATTGTGGTTTATGGTTTATCAGCCCTGCTTTGTGAACTAGGCTACCCTCTCCCACTCACAGCTAAAGGTGGGCGATACTGCTGAATTTCTGTTCGATCCAACATCGAGTAATAGGCTGATATTATTATTACTATTATATTACTATTAAATCATGATAGACTACTTTTAAAAGAAAGCCTTTCTATAAAAACAGACATCTGGAAAAAAAAACAGACATCTGAAATCATTTGCATACATCTTAAAAGGCCCATATCCTACATTCTTCTCTTATTTTCTAATTATGTTAGTTTATGTAACAAAAATATCCACAGTTCATTTTACATGACCACGTCTGACCTATAAATTAAGTATGTTAAAATTTACTTATAAAATATAAAATTATAAAAATAAAACATTTTTAATGAGTTCTGTTCTGATTGGCTGCACTGTATTGATTCTAAAAGCAGTCCAGGCTGAAACACTCCTTATAATGTCAGTGTGAGTGGGTGGGGCTAAAGTACTGTACACAGACTAGAAGAATATATGTAAATGTGTTGGTTTTTTGATGTCACAAAAGCAGTGAATTCAAAACAGGCTGCTTAGTTACTGTAGATGGACTGAATGGGCTGAAGAGTGAATGATACATTTTCACATTTTAACATTGTCTACAACAAACCTTATTTCACAGTTTTTCCATGATATGGGTCCTTTAACTAAACTGCTTAACTAAACTAAGCCTGTAAGGGTCTGTTCATCCTGGGTTTCTCATGAAATAACACATGTATTACATTATTAAAATGATGTAAAATCAGGACTATCCCTCTTCAGTTTACATGAATATTGTCAGTGTGTTTATTTTCCAGTCATACACATTTATTTTACACAATACATGCTCAGTTTTAGTAAAACAGTTTTATAGAAATTACTAGTTAAATGAAACAGTACTTTTCTGGAAGGTCTGGTTCTCAGTGGTGTTTTGTTAGCCTGCAGCTGAGAGAACTGTAGCCTTTTTATTCTGCATTGTTTGATTTTAATCCTCTTTAAAGCTGAATGCTCAGGGGAAGTCATCTGTTTTGTGCATGATGGGGTGTATAGTCATATGTTTCGTGCATGATCGTGTGTAAGTCCAGCCTCTTTCCCTTCTTTCTGTGAACATTTATTGAATGAAAAGTCCCACTGAGCAGAGTTAATGTGGCTCTTTAAGTTATTAGTGGTGAGCAAGGTTTGTTCAGCTTTGTAAAACCTTCATATGGCTCTGCAGGCTGTGTCAGATCAGAACTGCTTCACAGTGGGTCATTGTTATAGATGGGTAATCATTTTTATATCAAAATCGCAGTTCGAAAGAGTGTAATTTTTAAATCGCAAGATCTGCAATGTTAATTACATCCTGCACTTTTAAAAAAGATGGTTCTTCGGTAAAGACAGTGGCATTCTTTGCATGGTGAAATAGTTCTTCAGAGTGGAGAATGCGTTGAATTTGGTTCTATATAGCACCTAAAAGGGTTCTTCTATTGTTACAAGCTTGACATTGTATCAATAGCACAACCCTTTTTGGTGCTATATAAAACCTTTTTCAAAAAGGTTTTATATAGAACCATATACAACACATTCTCCATCAGTTTAAAGAACTATTTCACCATGCAAAGAACCATTGAAGCGTGCAAGTGGTTCTATGAGTGTTCAGGTTTGTATAAAGAACCATTGTCTTTAATAAAAGGACCCTTGAAGAATCTTTTTTAAGACTGTATGTTCAACATTGTCTTAAGTTTTCATTAAGGAAATTGAACCTAATAATGCAGAGCGTGTGAGCTGGCAGACTGGCACACGACATTCAACATTCAAGCCTCAAGCATAAAAGATAGATGTGCTGATTTGCTTGAGTGAGAAGGTCTGGAGCTTAATTTATAGAAAATAACCTCATTCAAATCACAATATTGTTCAGGACAACTGGACAAAATTCAGCCCTCCTGCCTTTTTTTTTTGCTAAATAATAAAAAAAACAATTACTCAAGATTTATTATTGTTCTATACAAGCAACATTAACATTTCTGCCACAAATGAAATGTAAAATTTGTTTCCAACTCCTACTCTTTATGAATTGCTGATATAACTGTGACATAACTGTACATGTTACAACTTACTCCATAATTGGGTTTAATTGCCGTGGAAAATGTGGGGTTCATCACACTGGGGCCTGGGGACAGGGGGGTTACACAGCGTCCAGGCTCTCTAAACTCTTCATTTGGGCTACTAACATAGAAACTGACACAAGTGTTTACCTGTGACTCAGAGAAAGATTCCATTGCTTAACATACCTCACCAGTTACCTTCCATCAACACTACACAAACAGCGCTGATGTTTTTTTTCTCTCTTATTCACGAAGCATCTCGTCCATGATAACACGGATAATATGGTTTTCAAACGGGCCTTTCGCAACCTGCAACAACGTATTTGAACCAGCTTTCAAAATGTAAAACATTAAATAAATACATCAAAATAAATACACTTGAATGTAAATGTCTGAACACCCCCTGGTCAAATGACATATTTTGTTCATTTTCTAAGTGAAAATTATCTACAGGGAACACACTTAAATGTGGCACTTTTCTGCAAATTTTAGTGCACAATTTCTATTTATTTGAGTTTAACATATTGGAGAACAAATAAAACATACAATATAAAATGTGACTTTTGTGCTGGCCACATTTTATGTTTTTTCCCAATATATTAAATTCAGCAAAGACACAGTAATTGTGCATTTAAGTGTGCAGAAGTGTGTTCTCTGTAGAGGATGTGAATTTACATTAACTTATTTTCACTTGGAAAATCAACTAAACATGTCATTTGACCAGGGGTGCCCAAAACTTTTACATACGACTGTATGAATGGTGAAAAGAGGCTGTATCAAACACTGAGCCATCACAAAGTGTTCACTCACTGCTCTGCTGTGTTGCAGGTTATGGCACCACCATTCCACTGTCGGATGAGGGTCGTGTGTTTTGTATTCTGTACTGTCTGGTGGGCATTCCCCTCACTCTCCTGCTGCTCTCCTGCCTCACGCACACTTTACTGCCCAGAGTGACCCACGCGCCCATCCGCTACCTGCAGCTCTACTGGGGTCTGTCCCACAACAGAGCTGCGCTGCTGTACTGCGGGGTGTTAGCAGTGTGCACAGCGACGCTGTTCTTTCTGCTGCCTGCTGTTGCGCTCTGCCTCTTGGAGAGAGACTGGAGTTTTCTGGAGTCGCTGTACTACTGCTTTATCTCTCTCAGCACTATTGGGCTGGGAGATTATCTGCCTGGGAGGACGCACAGTCGGGCAGCGCGGCAGGGGCTGGAGTTTGCCACTTCCTGTGAGTCCTTTTTACCTCCAAGTCTGGTCCTCATTCAGTTTAAGTGAAGCTTGTGTGTTTTCTGTCCCTGGTAAAGTAAGAGCTCACTGCAATAAACATTACAAAAGTGTTCTTCCACGCTTTGTATGCATTTCCACATTTACACCAGAGAGGTCTTCAAATCCCCAAAGCTTACATAGTGTAGCTTTAAATGGTCCTTCTCCGTGAAGGAGAACCGCTTGTATATGGTTCCTAAAAATGGTTCTGTATAGCACCAAAAGAGTTCCATTACTCCTTGATACTACATAGAATCCTCTAATATTTTTTTTTAAATTTATTTTGCACATGCTTCATGAGGAGCCACTTGAGATGCTGAGACTTTGTAACATATGAAAACTTTTGTTTTGTTTATAAATATAAGCATTAGCTTCACTATTTATTTGTCTTAGAAATTCAAAGCACAGAAGGATTTAGAAGCCTTTAGATCCTAAAGGTATTTGTTGTTATGAGACAAATTTCTTGCCACAGTTTAAATCTTTTTGTGGGCAAAACTTTACTGAGATTCTCCAGCGAGATTGAAATTGTATTAGATTAGGCGCTATCTGTGTTCATAAAACAGGGTGGATGTAGACGTGACATTCCCAATGCAGACCAGATTTTTAATGATGTAATTCTACAACTACATAAGAGTGTCTTGATGTCATTTGTGGAGTACATTAGATTACAGCCAAGTGGGCCTGGATTGGAACAGATAGACTGAGGAATGAGTGATGTGATTGTAGCTGAGCACAGCATGAACATGCCACAGATATTTACCAATGATGTAAAAAAAAATCAATAAATAAATGAGAAATAGCCTGAAAACTTAAAGGGTTTTCAAAGATCATGCAACGTCAACCTAACAATAACAGTTAAAGTGATCATCTGTACAGTTTTTCAATCAGCCATGACATGTTTGAATTTTAATTTGTTAGTTCTCAAAGCAACTACAAGGCTAATCTGACAATCAAATAGTGCAAGCTTATACCCCACCAGCAACATGTAAACTGAATACTTAAATTGCCTGAAACTAGGGGTGGGAGATATGGTGAAAATATCATACCATGATACTTAAAGACATTTTCATGATACACAATATGCATCACAATTTTTAGATTTTCTGTTTGACCAGGCAAAATATAACCTGTAGTGCCACATATATAAAATACATTAATGACAACAACAACAACAACAACAACAACAACAACAATAATAATAATAATAATAATAATAATAATAATAAAAATAAACGTACAACTACAATGATTTTTGTTTAACATTTAAAAACTGCACTAGATCCACTTAAACAGGCCTAAAAATGCTCTCTTTGTTATTAAACATATAGCTCGTCAGTGTTCTTAAAGTATTGACTATATCCATGCTCATAAAAAGTCATATAGTGCCAGAAATCACATAAGCAAATCTGTTTGAGATACTTAACAACTCGATGTTGATGATTTAGGCATGCATTATTCACAGTGCTAATTGTTGGGGTATAAGCTTCCATTACTTGTTAGCTACATTAGCCTTGTAGCTCTAGTGCAAAGGTAAACAATCAGACAAACATGTCTTGGCTGATTTTGTGTAATTATTTTACATTTGGTGTAAGTAAATTCGACTTTTCACTAAACTATCACTGTAATGTTTGTAAAATGTATCACTTGTGCTCAGGTTACCTGGTGCTGGGACTTGTAGTCCTGCTGGTGGTTGTGGAGAGTTTCTGGCAGCTGCAGCAAGTGCAGGCTTTGGTGCGTCTCTTCGTAGGGGCTCGGGTGAGTGAGCTGATGGGAGTCGGTCTTGATGAGCTTGTGCTCAGTGGAGATTCAGGAGCTCAGGTGAGCTCAGAGGAGCCCCAGTACACTCTCCCTATCTCCACCATCTCACACCCCGTCCCTGCTGCCCACACATCTGCCTCTGCGGAGGAAACATTTACACTGGAAACACCACACGCAGCAAGCTGTGAGAAGACTGCTTCCATTACAGTTCACCCAGACGCTATCACAGACTCACCTGACGAACCAAACAACTGAATATCAACAGGGAAGAAGTATGTTCATCTTTAAAAATAGTTAAGGAAACTTTATTTGAAGTCTTTCTCTGTAAACTCAGCTTTTAATAACATTTTGTGTTGAATTTCTTTATTCAGCAGCTTACTGTTACCACATTTACCCTGCCAGATGGGCCAGTGAGACTCTGAGTGGATGATCTTAGGCATCTCAGGCATGTCTTGTGTATTTATTCGAAGTGATATGCATTCATGTCTCATTAACACCACAGCCCACCTAACATACCATTCAGTCTGTTGAAGAAAATGTTTTTTCTATATTTTGCTAATTGTAGCTGTCAGGACAAACCTTGTATCTCCATCTTTGCTACAGGTTCAACGCATTAGGAGCTAAAACAACAGAGGCAATAATAGTCCCCAAAGAAAACATATTTTTTTGGATTAACACACTTTTACCATCATTATGGTTACATATAAAAACATAAAAAACATGTTCAGGGTTACTGATCATTAAATAAAATGGCTATGTTTGGTTCCTATCACCATCACTGTAAAGAAAAAAAACGGTAAATTTCAACAGATAAATGAATAGATCTCAGAGTTAGGGATCCGAACAGCATTTTACAGGCTTTGGATATTTGTTGGTGTTTCTGAACAAGTACCTGAATATTTATGCTCAAAACCATCCTTAAAGACAATAATATTTACATTTTATAATTAACCATCATTTAAAGTACATTCATTACTGCAGTTCAAAATATATCCAGTAGGTGGCAGAGATGTATCAGTAGTGTTTACTGATGATAGGGCAAGTGAACTGAAATGAACCGCCATGTAAGGCATGTAGATTACTGTGCAGTACTCATACAAGGATCACTATACTTGTCTGAGTACATATTTGATACTTACGTATTTGAGATGATTCACAAACTTTGGGGTGTACCAACCTGTCGCTGTACATTTTGCTGAACATTTCTTATTGTCTGATAATTTAATCTGGTAAGTGACTGGTAATTTGGAGACCTCTCTGATGGAAATGTGTAATCACACACAACATGCGGAAGAACATTTCGTAGGTCCCCTTAGCACCCCTTCCCCGAGTGGATGAATCTGATGTTGGCCTGTAGAAAGAGTATTCAAAGACAGTTCAGTCTTGATGAAGGACCTTTCTGAGAATATAAGTGAATTATCTACTATTGTCATCGTATCTTCATCAGTATATTATTGATGTTGTACTGGATATCTAAACATCGAGCCAGACCTTTTTTCTGAGCTTGTGTGTGTGATGTTGATACGTAAAGACATGCAACGTGGCCCAAAAAACTAAGAAATCCACCCGTCACCTGTGTTTTTTAAACTACTATTTCATGCTTTATAGGGTGACAAAATATTTTTGCAACTTTTTCCTTCTGACTCAGTAATGCTACTACTAATTTATTTGGTTTGAACATTTTCCATATATTGACAATAACTGTTCCATTAAAAGGCCTTTGCTGATGAAAGTTATTTTAGGCTTCAATTTTGGTGGCTTAAAAAAGATGAAGCTTCTGAATACTAAATAGAGGAACTGCATATACCAACGCCATGAACAAATACTCAAGTATTCAAATTATTCATGATAGCCCTACTCAGAACGTAGTTCAGTTGTGGTTAGTTTACTGAAAACTGCAGTACAGCAATTTTGTTTGTTTCCCAGTGTATTAGATTGATCTGCTCTTATTTTAATGGACAGAAACTCTGGGAACATCTAGACAAACATGCAAATGTCCATTTGAAGCCCAGATGTAACATAAAAGTGGTCATCTTCTCAGCTCTGGTGCTGTTAACACCTTTCTGAGTTTTAAGTCCTCAGCCTTTAGATGGCAGCCTTCTTGCAACTTTTATGTTAAAGGAGAATTCCACCAATTTTTCTAAAGTTCTGCATAAACAGTCTCATTCAGAACAGTCATTCAGAGTGGTTTGATGCAAAATGGATTTTAGAAAAACTAACAGACTTGGGTTTTCTTTATAGTGGTGGTGAAAGGAACCAGGTGAGGTTTATAACACAAATATAGTCATTTTTTTACCATACAAAACCACCAGTGAACCTACATGTGTCTTCTAAGGTTTTTATATGTATATGTATATATTTATTTTGTATATATGTTGGCAATGATAAAATAGTGGCAAATGTGAAAAATGAAGTTTCGTTGGGGGCTGTTTTGCCTTACAATGCCTTGCATTGATCTGTACACCATGATTATGTTTTAAGTCAAAACTTTATCTGAGAACAATGTCTCAGGCATCAAGCAGCATATTCATAACCATTTTGTTTTCCGAATATTGTGTGAGGGAGCTTTTAGAGGCTCCCTATCACCACCACTGTGAACAGTTCTGACCTGGTAACTTTCTCTAGAATGGAGCAGTTCACATCAAACTGCTTTGAATATCTTTCTTCACTTCACATTATGAAAAATCAGTGAAATTTCCTTTTAACAAAAAAAATTGATTGTTTTAAAGATGTCCTTAAAGACACTGTATATAATGAAACATTAGTCTTTAAAATGTTTTCCCATAAAATGTTGTGTAAAGACAATATTTAAGGTAATTTAGATAACAGATATAATCGACAAAATGGCCATTTTTAGCTCTACAATGTGCTGAGTGTGTCTCACATCCTCACATTGTAAGCTTCGCATTGTAGCTGGACTTTTCAAACCATGTTTAGTCTCGTCATCCAGCCGCTGAGTGACACAATGCATAGTGGGGCAGAATGTGTGTGTGGGAACAAGCACACAAGTGCGTATGTGTGTGTGTGTAGAGGGGACGCAGTGACTCAGACTCTGTGCCCAGCACTGACGGCTCTGCCTCTGCTCACCCGCTCTCACATAAACACTCCTGTCCGCCTGACGCACAGATGAGATTCACACACTGCTATCATGACATTCTGCCATTTAGGCCATTCTCTCCTGCATGCTCATTGTGTTTAACCAGTGGACACCTGCTAAATCTCATAACTGTACAATACTCATGTACATCATGTAAGGGTTAACTTGACTGCTCATTCAAGGTCGACATGTGTATTCAACATGTGTGCTATTTATCTTCTCAGAAAGAGGAAATATGTATTATTTATTTATGTTTTTTTGCAAATAAGCGTTCTCTCAAGTGTATTTTTTTTTCAATTAAAGTCTAATATAAAGGAGTTTGCTATGGTGCTCTCAAAAGATATGAAGCATAAAACAATCAAAGCCTCATAAGAGTAAACAGGGACAATGCAATTAAAACAGTCAGATTAAAATCATTTATAAACATCGCAATAATGTTAACTGAGAGACTCACTTATTTACCAAAATAAAAGAAAATAAGTCTTAAATACAGATGGTAGTGAGTGACAGAAAACTATACTGTGCCTTTATACTAGTGTTGAAGTTCTTTAAATTGTTCTTTTTTTTCCTTCATATTTCCTTGTACTTGAAATAATTTGAATACACCACCTGAACCATCTGTGAACATTTCATGTTAAATGGACTAATATAAATGGTCCAAAATTACTTATGTAAATACTAAAATCTCATTACATTAAGAAACTGTCACAAAAAGGGGAATATCTTTATCCCCAAGGTTGAAAACAACATAAATGTACCCTCAATAGCATCTTTACATTGTTTGTAATGATCCTAAAAATGTACCTTAAATGAGTTTTAAATGTACACTATGTTCATCTTGCATATTTCTTAGGTATTAATGCTGCTTAACTTAAATTTCTGTAACTTTTTAAAAAGAGAAGAATAACTTTACAAGCCTGGAGTCAGCAGGATCAAAAAACTACCATCACAGCAACAGCAATGGCACCCAAAAAAATACAGAATAGCACCTTTTTTCTGAGAGTTAGCATTAAACGTTAAGAATGTTTTGGTTTTTTTTTCTCTCATGAAGATACCATTTCAGAGATGTAGTTGCATGCTAAAGTTTGGGCATCAGTGGCAGTTTGTTGATTTTTTAAATTGAAAAGAAGAAAACACTACTACAACTTCTAATTTTGGCATCTTCAAAAGTTTGGACACTCTTCCAGTTGTAATACTAAACCTTAATTAACTCTTTAGACTTAAGCTGACTTGTTAGGACTGGTTAAGAAATGTCATTAGGTTGTCAGCTGATGAGTGTAAATACACTTGCTCTTCAAACCTTGTGTTAACACTCATTAATCATGGCCTCTATCAAAGCAGCTGGCTGAGGATCTGAAAATGAAGCTAATAGCAGGGGAAGGCTATAAAAAGATATTAAAGCTTCCAACTCGTGATTTCCACTGACGAAAATGTCAGTAAAAAATGGCAGTAAAGCGGAACTGGGGAACTCAAAGTAAGACTAAGAAAACTCTAAAATAAAATAGTATGCTGATAAGAAAGGCAAAGCTAAACATCCATATTACAACAAAGGACCTGCGGGAAGGCTTAGCTGATACATGGGAGGGGTATCAGCTGGAAACCTTACCTGTAACCTCATCACAAAGGTCAGTGTCTGAAGTATGTAAAACATCGTCTAAATAAGCCTGAGGCATTTTGGAAACAAATGCTGTGGACAGATGAAGTAAAATGGAACTACATGGCTACAATCACCACAGGCATTTGATGAAAAGAACACCTTGGAACTTGTTAAGTATGGGGGTAGATTTGTTATGCTTTGGTGTTGTGTGGCTGCCAGTGGCACAGAAAACATCGCAAGGGTAGATGGCAAAATGGATTTCACTAAATATCAGCAAATTCTGGAGTGGTGACATATTCTATATTCTAAAAAAAAACAGACGCTGAAAAGGCTGGCCGGCTTCTACAACAGGACAATGATCCAAAACACATCTAAAAATCCACCATGAACTGTCAAGAAATGTAAAATGAAGCTCTTTGGAATGTCAGTAGATCTAAAACAAGCAGTACATGCAAGACGGCCCAAGAATATTAAAAAACTAGAAGCGCTCTGAAAGGAAGAGTCAGAGAAAATTCCGAAAAACATGAATAAAAAACTCGTAGCTGGTTACAACAAGTGTTT